TCTTCAGAAATGACTACTTCTCAGTGTTCTGACCTCCATCTTTTTAGAATTCAATTAACATTTAGATAATTGTAGGATCACATGCAGTTATAAGAAATAATACAGAAAGATCTCATGTACCCTTTACTGAGTTGCTCCCAATGTTGACATCTTGCAAAACTATAATGCAATATTAGTATCAGGGTATTGATAAAGTCAAGATACAGAACACTTCTATCACCACTAGGATCCTTCATGGAGCCCTAGAGCCACACCTACCTTCCTCCTGCCCCCTTGCCATTTCCATTTCTTTAACTGCTTTCCATTTCTATAACTTCTTAATTTCAAGAATGTTATATAAATGGAGCTATATAATATGTAACTTATTGGGACTGGCTTTTTGCACCCACTATAATTTTCTGAATAGTCATCCAGGCTGTTGAGTGCATCAATAGTTCATTCCTTTCTGTTGCTAAGTAATATTCTGTGGTATGAATTTACCACAGTTTGTTTGAATGGTCCCCCATTAAGGACATTTGGGTTGTTTCCAGTTTTCACTATTATGAATAAATCTGCTACAAACATTTGTGTGTCAGGTTTTTGTGTAAATATCAGTCTTCATTACTCTGGCATAAATATCTTGGAGTACAACTGCTGGATGGTATGGTACCTATGTCTTTACTTTTTAAAGAAACTGCCAAAGTGTTTCCCAGAGTGGCTGTACCATTTTACATTCCCACCAACAATGTATTTATCTTCATCAACATTTGGCATTGTTACTAATTTTATTTTAACCATTCTGAGATGTATATAGTGACATCTCATGGTTGTAATTTACATTTCCCTAGTAGCTGACGATGTTGAAAACCTTTTCATGTGCTTATTTGCCATCTATATATCTTCTTTGGTGAAGTGTTTCTTTAGGTCTTTTATCCAATCCAATAAGAACATTTGTGTACAGATTTTTGAATAAGTTTCTGAAAAAAAGTTGAAGTTCAGGGCTGTTGCAAATCTGTCTTGGATTATATAGTCGTCATGCAATGCAATTCTAATGCAGTGGTTATTTACAAAATGCAGTGCAGCCGTACTCTTTTGGGAAAGGCTTATTGTAGGGTGGAGAAACTCTCAGGATAAGCCATTAAGAAGAGTTTCTTCCAGTGTGGATTGACTGCACCACCCTTCTCTGTGTGCAAAACTTAAAGATAAAGTATATGATAATGTTAAATTAAAAAAAAAATTTAAGACAACAGGTCAAAAATGGAGTCATTTATCCTAAGGTTCATTGTCATCAAACCTACACTTACAGTTTCTGCCCTCCCAGAAATGTGCTCTAAAACCACTCAATCAGGAATCACCTGATCAGTGCTAGTTAGGTAATCTGCCTGATAGACTCCAGTCATCCCTTGAAGGAAAGTAACCTTGCAATAATCAATCAGCTTTTTTGCCTAGTGTAACTTCCTTGTTCCTGCTCCCTTCTGCCTATCAAAGCCTTTCATTTTTACAGTCCCTCGGAGCTCCTCAGCTAGATTGGATACTCCTCGCCTGGAATCCATTTTTGCTCAAATAAAACATTAAAATTGTAATATGCCTCAGTTTATCTTTTAATAGTAGTATGTACACCGCCCCACCCGTCAAGTCAAGTGGTCCGCTGTGAACAACAATAATGCTGGGGGAAAACGATTTTTCAAAAAGAGAATCCTGTTAAGTCAAATAAAAGAGACCGGGTCTCGTCGGATGTCCAGGCAGAACTGCAGGCATTGCTCGCAGGCGCGGTCCCACCGCCGCCCAACACGGGGAGTTTGACCTGCTCCGTGTCCGGCCTGGGCCGGGTCCCCCCTCCTTAGACAACCTGGTGCCCCCGGGCTCCCCCGGGAGCCCCATGTTGGTGCCAGGCCCGGTGCGGACGCCCGCTCTACACAGCGCCGTAGTCCCGAACCCCCGGGCACCCACGATCCGCCGACCTCAGCCTCCCAGGAAGCTGGGATTACAGGCGCGCGCCACCGTGCCCGGCGCGGGGAGATGCGGCGCGGCGGGCCTGGAGGTTGCGCTCCCCGAGGTCCTGCGTGCTGCGCGGCGCCACCTGCCCGGCGATTCCCCGGTCCCCAGGCCACTGCCCACTCTAGATTGCTAGAAGTGGCTGACAGAACCGAGATGAAGAGACGCAGAAAACATTGACAGAGATGTGAACAAGCTTCCCTTATCCTGCCCTCAGAATCTTTGTTAAAAAGTCGGTTAAACAAATAGCTGGAAATTTAATAAAGGAAAGAGTGAAAAATTGTATTAAGCACGGTGCGTTCTTCACAAACACCAGTACGCATACAAAATCACGTGGGGATCTCGCTAAAATGCAGGTTCTAAGGCTGTGGGTCTGGGGTGAGGTCCGAGATTCTGCATTTCTAAGAAACTCCAGGTTAGGCCAACGTGGCTGATCAGTGGCCCGTGCTGCAGGTTGATAAGATTGTTGACACTTCGGAATCTGATGGTTCTACACAATTTCACTTATGTTAGCAGTGACAGCATGGTGATATTAGAACATTAAAGAGAAAAATAAGATACCCACAGTTCTGGCTTGCCAACTGATTATGGGCATTTTCCCTTCTTTGTTTTTAGTTTCTGTTCTCATGTACACATCTGGTTTTTGTTTTTGTTTTTGTTTTTTGGCATGGTTGAAACCTTGACATTTGTACAATGTCATGTTGGGAGCATTTCTGTGTTGTGGTCAGCAATAAACTTATGCAGAGGTTTGTTCAATTACTACTCCATCAGCCAACATTTCCCAAGGCCCTTCTCTGTACCATCTATGCTAGGTCCACCTGGGGAAACTGCAAGGACCAAATGCACTCCTCTAAGGAGCTTCTGGCCTGATAAAGAATACAGGCAAGTAAAGCAGTGAGAATTGAGATACACTCATAGATTCTTCCGTGGATGTAGAGAAAGTCGCCAATAAAGCCACCTGGCCTGAAATATGGATGGTTTACTGGAGGAGATGAGAGCCTGAAATGTGTCTTAAAGGTGAGCTATAATTAGGTTGGCTTTAAAAAAAAAGGATGTGGCAATTATGATGTATAAGAAGTACTATTTAGTCTTCCTCACATTCCTGGAACTGAGGTCCTAAAACTCTTGGAATTTTCTAATTGATGAGAGACATAAATATACCTTTTATTGTGTTAATGAGGAGACTTTTGGAAAGCTTCTAGGTCTCCTAAGGATGGGATAAGGTTGCCAGGGAAACTAAATTTTCAGTCTCCCTCCTCCCACCCTCCCAACCCCCTCCCCCCCACTCCTGGCTTCTTGGGCGGGAGAGGAGCTGGAGATTAAATCCAGTCACCAACGGCCTATGATTTAATCAGTTGTGCCTATGTAATGAAGCCTCCATAAAAACCAAAAAGGATAGGGTTCAAAGAGCTTCTGGGCTAGTGAAACTTGCAGATGTGGGACAGTGGTCAGCTCAGAGAGGGCATGGAAGTTCTGCACCCTTTATTCATACCTGGCCCTTTGCATCTCTTCCATCTGGCTGTTCCTGAGTGATATTGTTACGGAAACGACAGGCCAGCCAAGAAACAAGCACCACTCGGAGGGTTGGAGTACTCAGATGTATTACGCCGGCGGGCTCAAAGGGGCTTCTGCTCCGAAGCTCTGAGCACCTCCAAGACATGCGCATGAGGTTTTATAGGGTAAAGTACAAGCTTGGGGTATTCGGCCAATAGGCATGGAACAGCTTCAGCAGCATCATTATCACAAAAGTGGAGGCAGGGAGGCAGCAAACTAACATTCCAAAGCCAGATATATCTCTTTGAAAATCCAGCTGGCTAGCAAAAAAAACAAAACAAAACAAACGAAAAAAAAACACGAACAGCAAACCAACACTAATTAACTTAGATTTACGAGTTAGTCCAGCAGAACTCAGATCAGTATTCCAATACTTAGATTTGTGAGTTATCTTGTGAGCCCAGCCCGGCTTAGATTTGTGAGTTAACTTGTTAGCCCAGCCCGGGTTTTCCTTCATAATATCTTTTTATAATAAACCAGTAATCTGCAAAGTAAAATAAGTAAAATGTTTCTCTGAGTCCTGTGAGTTGCTCTAGCAAATTAATTGAACCAAAGGAGGGAGTCTTTGAAACCTCCCATTTATAGCCAGTTGATCTGATGCACAAGTGACAACCTAGACTTGTGATTGGCATCTGAAGTGGAGGGCAGTTTGTGGGACTAGGCCCTTAACTGGTAAAATCTGATGCTATCTTTGGGTAGGTGGTATCAGAATTAAGTTGAATTGCAGGACACCCAGCTGGTGTAAAGAATTGCCTGGTGGTGTTGGGGGAAACCCACACATTGAAACTGAGTGTCAGAATTATAGAAGGGCATGGAAAGATTCTTTCCATGAAGCATGAACAGGGGCAAAGCTGAAAAGGTGTGACCATCTGGGAAAATCACTAGTTTCTAGTTCAGTTAGACCTGAGAAAAGAATCAGAGGTGCATGGGCCAAGAGGAATAAGATCAAGATGAAACTGAAAATGAAAAAAAGAGCAACTTGTGTGGTAGCTAGTCACCAAAAACTGACCCCAACGTAGTACGTCTCTCAGTAATCACCCCTTTGCAAAGCACATTCCCACAGTGCATCTTGGCTGCCCTAGTAGAATTTCATTGAAGAGACACTGTGCCACTTCTAGGCCTGTGTCATAAAGAACCCTTGCAGCTTCTGACTTGGTTTCTTGGAATGCTCAACTTGGGAAGCTCCCTCTCAGAACCCAGTCACTAGCCTGTGAGATGTCCAAGCCTCACGGAAAAGCCACAGCCAGGCACTATGGGCAACAGCCTCCTCTGAGCTCCTCACAGATCACAAACACCAAATGCCACTGCCCGTCATGTGAGTGAGCCACCTGGGACATGGCAGCCCAATCAAGTCCTCAGAGGACTAGAGTGCTTGCTGATGTCACACAGAGCAGAACTGCCCAGATGAACCCAGTCAACCCACAGAATCAAGAGAGACAGTAAAATGGTTTTCTGTTGCTGAAATAACAAACTTATTGGCTTTAAACAATACAAATTTATTATTTGCACAAAGACACCCTGTGTGCTTGGGGTTTTGTAGGTCAGAAGTGTCAGGTGTGGTCTCACTGTGCTGAAAACAAGGTGTAGGCAGGCTGCATCTCTTTCTGGAGGCTCTAGGGAAGATTCCGTTTCCTGCTTCATTAAAAAAATTATTTTTTAATTTATTTATTTACTTTTAATCAAGGTCTAGTCAGTTTATAATGATGCATTAATTTCTGGTGTACAGCATAGTGATTCAGTTATACATATGTATATATTTCTTTTCATATTATTTTTCATTATAGGCTATTACACAGTATTGAATATAGTTCCCTGTACTCTACAGTAGGACCTTGTTGTTTAACTTGTGTCCTTTTCAAACTGTTGAC